CTTCAATGTTGTGTTAAGATTTCATGACAAAGGGTTCCTAAGGGAAGTATATTTGGTCATGTATTTGTGCAGTGTGTGAAAGTGACACTAAAGCTAGGCCACAAGAGCTAAGTGTGTGGAAAAATATTATTTGTTAAAAGAGTCAAATGGTGGTGACTCTTAGGCTAGGTAAGCTAATGATGTAGGGATCAAGCTCCCAAGTCTAGCTCTAAGTGAATAGGGATGAGCATTGGAGATCCCTTGATATGATCATGGTGTAAGTGTGTGAATATGAATGCATTTTTATTACGGCCGCACCTCGATGTGAGGTTGCCTACGTATCCGTTAGGAATCAGGCTGAACGTAGCTCTAGCCGAACCTCGCACAAGTGTATGTATACCTCAAAAAGGTCTTTTTAAGGGTTGTCACGTGGTTAGGCTAAAGGTTATAGAAAAAAGGGATAAAGGCTCAAAACCCTAGATAAGCCCCCAAGGTGTGCAACCTTGCTTTTGAATCTTTATATTTTTATGCTTGAGTTTCTACTCTTTTTTAGCTTTTTTTTTTATTATCTTTTGCTTTAGCATTTATTTTATTTTTAATAAGTGTGGGTAATCCCGATCATGCGGTCTATCACTCACTTGGCATTCATGTTTCTCAGGCACGGTACCGAGCACTCGATAAGAGACGCAATCTGAGACGTGTTCTTATCGAAGATATTTTCATGTCAAAGACATTGGAACACTTGCCCTTTTGTACACTTTTATTTTTTTTTTTTGCTTTTTTTATTTATTTTTTGCTATTTTAATCTTTTGATATCACTCAAACTTTTTTTTAGAATTGCACAAGTTACACACCATCCCATCCCAAGGTTAGGTAGATGTAGGTTGAAGAAATGAAAGGGTCTATTGTTAGACGAGGCTCAAAGTGGTTTATGAAGAAAAGATTGTAAATTTGAAAGGTGAAAGGAGATATGATGTGGCTACAAGGGGTGCCTTAAATCATTGGTATACCTTGTGCTTAATTCGACTATTTTTTTTTTTTTTTTTTGCAATGTAATGAAATGAAATGATCATATATAAGGAAATAAATGCTCATTTTATTAAAAGAAAATAAAGAATCTACAAAATTAATCTAAGGAAAGGAAAAGGTGCCTATGCTAGACTTATTGGGGAAAGAAAAAAAAATGAAAAAGAAATAGAAAAAGAGGTCACGAAATCTTGTCGTTGAAGCTCGACTCTTGTCTTGTGTTGTTTCCTTTATCATCACTCGCTCTTCTTGTTAACTAGAGGCATGGGAAGCTTGTTATTATCAATCAAATGTTGGATAGCCTCCTTTAGCTTCCAACAACTCTCAGTAGTATGACCCTTACCTTGATGGTACTTGCAGTGTTCGTCTGGATTCCAACTAGGCAATCTCTTTTCAGGTGCGGGATCTTGAATAGGTCAATGGGAGTAATGAGTCCTTTGGCATGGAGTCGATCGAAGGTAGTATTGTAGCTCATCCCAATGGGGGTGAAGTCTTTCCTTAGTTGCTTCTTAGATCCTTGGTTATCTATGGCTAAAACTTCACTGAGATCAAAGGTACTAACATTGTTACTAGAGTGGGCATTTTCGGAAGAAGAAGGATTGTCGTTCTTCTTTCCTTTCCAGCCACCGTGGTTACTATTGTTAGTAGCTTTTTGCTTTGCGAGGTCATCTTCGATTTCAATTCCGATGTCATGAACGTCCTTGAAAGTATTCAAATTGTGTTGATATTTTAAATGCTTCGAATATTTTTCTTAGAGATTCTTGATAAACATCCTCACAGACTCCTTTTCGGTGGGGACCTCAATCATCTTAGCGGAAGTTTCCCTCCATTTATTAAAGAAAGAAGTAAAGCCTTCATTCTCTTTTTGTCTTAGCATCTCAAGTTGTCTATGGTCGGTTTCAACTTGAATATTGCACTTGTACATATCAACGAAAGCGTTTACTATCGATTCCCAGGTAGAGGTTTTCTCTTTGTCAAGGGAGAAGTACCATTGTTGGCAAACGGTTTCAAGAGATAGTGAGAACAGAGAGGGGAAAACCTTCTTATCGATACTCTTAATGTTTATTATGGTTTCAAAAGCTCTTAGATGAAAGTAAGGATTATCTGTTGCCCTGAATTTAGGGATGTCAGTGGCGTTGAACTTATGCGGAAGAAGTTCTTTGTCCAGCGAGACCCCTTGTGATGTAAGCCCTTGAAACTTGTAGTCGCTAGACAGCTTGCTTAGACTCTCTTGCATGAGGTCCATCTGTTGTTGCTTCACGGGATCATCGATCTTGAGTGCGAGAAGCTTCAGTGTCTCAGTCACGGTAACCAATTGGTTCCTAAGATCATTGACTTCTTCTTGACTTGCCATTATCCTTTTAGCCTTCCTCTTTTGACGAATCAGTTTATCAAAAAGTGAGACTTGAATAAAGGTATTGTCCTTGATTAATCGCCCTTCTTTCCTCGACCAAGTACTGTGGAAAAGGAATTTGGGGATATTCATTGTTAATTATTTAACTCAGACTCTAGTCAACATGCAATGGAAGGAGGATGTGAAGAAAAATGGAATAGAATGTGAAAAAGAATGATGGAGGTGGAGGGATATGAAGAATTAGGAATAGAATATACCCCCAACTTAAATGACGGAAAAAAACCGACTCATGCATGAACCTAAGACATGGTCATGGTGATGTGTACTCAAAGTGTATTCTAAGACTAGTGAATGTAGGTGACATGTTAGGACTCTTGTCATGACCATGTGGCTAGACTATGTGACTAGACTCAAGCAAAGACTGAGTTAAGACTTCACGTATATGCATTAAACTGGACAGACTGTGGTATTTTAGTCATAACTTTTTATCTGTGACTTTGATTTGGATGAAACCAACGCCACATTAAAGATAAACCTTGGGGCTACAGATCCATTGGTTGTACGACTCGTAGTTCTTTCTAGAACTCCGGCTATAACCAAAACAAGTTGACGCTTGTGCAGTATACGGGAATAAAAATCCGGGTTGACTTAAAGGAACTATGACTCGATTTTAGGTATATTTATTAGCTCAAATTAATTAATTAATTAATTAAACAAAGTCTTTTAGTCATTAATCAGTTTATTTAGTCTTAACAAAAGTCAAACAAACGGTTAGGAAAAATCACATAGAGTATGCACAACAAATAATGCACAATTAGCCAAATAGGCACAATATGATGCAATGAGTTTGCAACCTAACCATGGCTCTAGTTCTCTAAAGTTCGGGATATGGTTTAGTCAATAGAGGGTCAATGGTTAATTGTCCAGATGCACCGCGCGGAAGCCTAACCGTGAAGGGTTGGCGCGAGTGGATGGGACACCACGAGCTTTAGAAAAAACTCGCTTCCATGGTTTGGTGAATTCAACATCTCGGATGTACCCTTTGTTGCACGGAGCGTTCAATCGGGTAGATGGAGCATGAATTCCCAGAGGGTTATGTCCATATGTAGAACACATATGGGTTTCAGAAAAGTGAGAAAAAATTCAATCAGGAAGTAGAATCGAGCAAACAATACGAAAAACTAGTCGAAATTAGAACGCATATTTCTGGCTCGGTATTAAGGGAAATTGGTGCCAGCAATCAGAGACTGGCGCCAAATTTTAACTGTAGCGCCTGGTGCCAATGCTGGCGTCTGGAGCTACGACTAAAATTCTGGCGCCAAGCTCTGGCCCCTGACACTACTTCCCACATGCCTCAGCAGCTTTCTGTGCTCGATAAAATTTTCCAGTTTTGCGCGGTGTTATTTCGGTCCTAGTTGTGAAAGATATTTCTCAAATTTCCTACGTGTAAAATCCTATGTTTTTAACTCATTACGGATGGTCTTTCCAATGAGATTTTTTTTATGCATATGACAATAAAGTTAATCAAAATTACGCACATGAAATACTTAGAACTTTTTGAGTCTCATCCACTCATTCTAAATCATTGCCGAAAAAAATTCAGGAATTAAAATAGAAATCCTCCCCAGTGGAGTCGCCAAAAACTGTAGGAAATAATTTCAAGCCTTAAAAATCCCACTAGCTTGAACCCCACTGTGATCATACACTAAAGTACGGTGGCGTCCAAAAGGGAAGAAGATAGAGCAAAAGAGTTGCCAAAATAGTGGAAGGGTGTCAGTTTTGGATAAAGTTTCATGTCTCATTCATATCTTTTTCGTTATAACTCAGATTTAATATTATAATATATCATTGGAAAGATAATTTCAAGATCTATCCAACCATATAAAATTTGGATAAATATTATGAGGCACGAAAATAAAATCTGAATATATTCCACTTCGTACAAAACAAGGATTCTTAAAAGGAGTAGTTTTATTCAATTTCAAACTCTTCAAAACATAATTATCAATCCTAACTCCATTAGGATTTAAAAGAAACTCCTAGAGTATTCTAAAAGACTATAATCAATCCTAATATCTTTAGGAATGATAATTAATATTAGGCCCTCCTCTAGATCATTGGGCCGCATATAAAAACCAAATCGGGCCAGTTTAGTATTTTAGCCATAACTTCCTCGATATTCATCGGAATTGGGATTATAATATATCGTTGGAAAGGTCTTTTCAAACCCCATCCAACTACACTATTATTGGACCCATATCATGGACCAACCAAACTGGATTGGCTGTTTTCTGAAAATAAGTTTTCAAAAACAGAGAGAAGAGAAAGAAATAAAAACTATCCGCAACACTAGACTTTCCACACTTTCGCTTCATCCGATTATGATTCGACGCGAAAGGTACTCATCACTAGGTTTGGTTTTGGGGAGACACAAATGGGTGTCTACAGTACTTGTCCGTAGCTGATGGCTGTAATGGGATCCGAGGTATAAAAACACGTTGACCGCAATGATGTCCCACAGTTATCTCAGCATCAATAACATTGGGGAAAAAGGCTCTGCATACTATTCTGGTACCGTTGCATAAGCCTGATGTTGGATCTAAGTTTCTAAGAAAAATTATTGGACTGCCTACCTTTAAAGTCAAATGATGAGGCGGAAGGCCGGATGGGCTAGGCTATTAAGAAATTCAGATGGATATTGTTCGGATGAATTATCTATGCAGCTGTCGAAACTTTTGTACTCATAAGCTCTTCCTGGCTGTTGGTGCACTAAAAGAGAATTTATCTTTGTAGCATGTTCATTTTTTGGAGTTAAAATAGCTCTTTTTGTTGCAGTCGAAGAATCAAAAGTTGTCTCCGAAATATTAGGGTAGATGCTTTTTGCTAAGAGTTCCAGAGATGAGTCTTCATTGTCATATGGTATGACTAAAGGTTTAGGAAGCTCTATATTTTTCCCATCTTTATAAGGGGGCACACCATTTCCAATTTGTAAGACAAGATTACTAAAAGTTGGGTCATCGATTGCTCGCATGTTTTGAGTTAGATGGATTTTCTGGAGTGCGTACCATAAAGGAGACATCACAAAACTCGTTGCAATAACCTCATTCAGACTTCCTTTAGGTATAACAGGTAGCACTTGTCGGAAGTCACCGCCAAAAACAACAACTTTTCCACCGAATTTCAATTTGTTTGAACAGTCATCTTGTAGCAATCTATCAAAGTACTCAATTGTTTGACGCTTTGCCATTGGTGCTTCGTCCCATATAATAAGTTTTGCAAGACAAATAAGTTTTCCTAAAGCACTTTGTTTGGAAATACTTGGACTTGGAACCTCATCAACATCTAAAGGTATTTTGAATCGAGAATTTGCAGTTCTACCTCCAGACCGACCAGATGCAGCAATACCAGAGCTCGCAACTGCTAAAGCAATCATTTCTTTTGCTCTTACATTAGCGAGTAATGTAGAATATAAAAAAGTCTTTCCTGTACCACCAGGGCCGTCAACAAAGAAAGTTGTCGGCTTATTATCAAGGACTGCATTGTAAATTATGCTGTAAGCAATTTTCTGTTCACTATTAAGTAAATTGACAGGATTTATTTCTTCGGGATGAATAGGAATCTGGAGCTCTTCTTCGATTTCTTTCATTCCTTTCGCTAAGTCATCTTCTTCAAGCTCTAACAATCCAAAATTGTAGGTGTCAAAAGACTTTCCCATTGACTCAACAAGGTAACAAATGCTTTTTATAGTTAATTTGCGAGCCTTTTTTTGTTTGAAGGGAAGTTATGGTTATAATCTTCAGAAAGATATGGGTAAAATTTTTCCCACAGGCAGTTTGGATCATCGGGATTGCAGTATACCAACAATGTAGCAAATAGTCGTCGTAAGGCAAAAGGCATTTGACTTTGGGAAGCTTCTTGTAGGCACTTATCTATAGAATCGTCTGCTTCGAGTAGACCTCATTGAAATGCTGCTTCTCGGAATGAAGAATATCTTACGTTGTTGAAGGTCAGCAAATGATCAAAATAGGTTAGACCACGAACACTTGTGAGTAGTAACCGCAAATAAAAACGTTCACCTTCTGCTAGATTTGCATGTACAACACGTCCGATCGCAGTAGTTGTTGTTTGACGGCGTCGCCAAATTTTTTCACTTTTTTTGGCACGCCATGTGTAATGTTGAGGAAATTCTTGGTACAGTAATGTGCGAGCAAAGCTATCAACTTGATTCATCTAAAAAAAAGCAGTTAGCATAGTTCGTTGTCTGCATGAGTCAGATGCAACAGTCTGTAACCTTTCTTGTGAATGGAATGTCACAGTTTGCATATTTGGCAAATATACTTGCAGAGAAAAAACGTTTGGATGTATACCATTCAGCGGAAATCTGATAATACGCCAAGCAGCTTCTGGGGGCGATATCCATCGCGCAATCTGAAAGGAAGAGATTTCATCACCTATGCTTATGTTGTCGGGATTAGATAAAGCAAAAACAACCCGATCGTGACCTTTGTATATATACTTATACAGATATTTAACTGCCTTTATTGTAGAGCACACTTCTACATTTATATGGCAGTCATATTTTGCTGGTAAATACGGATTATATGGTATTACCCACCTATTATCAAGTCGTACTCTACGTACCAAATATTTTTTTCCATCATTATGACGTCGGTATATAGGGTATGAATTATGACCTGTCGATGTCGTTTCAGAAAAGCTTCGAGGGTAATGGATTTTACACTTTCCATCTCGCATGTATACATTTCCAGGATTATCATTTCCACAAGGGCCATGCATCATATGCTTTAAAACAGCTTCATAAAGATGAGCGTTAGTCTTTTGTTCGGGTACCTCTGCACAGACATGCTCATCGTATTGGTCTGAAGTTCTAATCTTAGATGTTGAATCTAAAATGATGAGAAAGTGTACATGTGGTAATCCTCTTTTTTGAAATTCAATTACGTAAACATATGCTGCAACCTCACCAAATAGTTTCTTTTGGACAATATCTTTTTTCAATTCTGCTAATTTTGCGTGGAAAACTCTTGCTATTTGATCAGGTCTGTTTTGCACTTCCTCGTGAGGTAGCAGTTCATCTGCAATTTCAGGCCATGAAGGGTTGCAGGTCATGGTCAAAAAAATATCAGGTTTTCCGTAGTGCTGAACTAAAGACATCGCATCAAGGTATATGCGCCTCATATCTCGTGGACCACCAATAAACGAAGGAGGGAGAATGAATCCATGCCTAGTATTTAATCCATGCGATACGCCGGTGTTTAAGCTGTCGAGAATACCTTGGTAAAGTCCAGCTCTAATTGTGTCTTGGTTTTGACGAATAAAATCCAAACACGAAGTTTTGATTTTGATGTACATATCAACAATGTACTGTTTAATAAGCGCCCACATCGCAGAAGAAAGGAATTATCTCGTATACGGATCTATAATCGGTAGCAATAATACTCTCTACAGGAAACTTTTTTTTCAGATGTTGATGAGTGAATTCCTATATAAAAATTAAAAGATAAAAAATAAGTGGTGTTTTTTTTATTGATTAAAGTGAAATTTTTCTCGAGTAAATTATCTAATAGCCAAACCTTGTTCTTCAGCTTCTAGAAGATCATCAATAGTTTGGACAAGAACTTCATTTATCGGAAATGTGTGACATTGTTGTCTTCTTAGATATTTTGTTTTATATCTATATATCTGTCTATGCCAACCAGTTTGGCCGTAGGGAAATAAAATCGCATACTGTAATGGATCGTAGCATCCGTAGTAATGCAGTATACGATGGTGTGCACCTGAATGTGCATGAACCACAATATCGCGTTGCAGCGGAGCAGACGTGCCTGCATCTTCCAACCAACTTGCTTCCACTTGGGAAGAAGTAGGTGCATTGTGAGTACGTTGGTCTTGATCTGGATCAGATCGGATTATAATGTGACTTGCGTCAACCATATTAACATCTTTAAGTGACCGAAAAAATTGAGCATACGGATTTAGCTCCATTAAGTGCACTAATTGGCCGATCACACGTGGATCAAGATCCGTAAAAATTGATACACAATGTCGGTACTCAACATCTGTGTCATAGAAATATAGCTGCAAATATCGCGGTTGTTCATCATTTCGACGTATATCATTTATGTTATGATATACTTGCCCTTGGACTCTAAATGTGTAAATACCATGATGTCTTCGTGCTAATTCTTTATCCTTCTTCACACCCAAAGATGTAAACGCAAACATATTGTTGTACAGAATAATATATTTACGAAAACTCTCGGAGCTGCTGTCCAATGACAGAAATAGGTTATGCAAACTATCTGGCATATGGTTAGGAGCAAGTCGAATCTCCCCTTGGTTGCAACATAGGTTAATTGATTCGTCCTTAAATAGCTTTGCTCCACAATACTCACAAAGCGTAGGCACATGTAGAACGTATGCATATTTTGGAGGTCTTTTCATGTTGTTTGTTCTGATTGTATTTGACATATTCAGTATTTTAAAATAATAGGAAAACAAATTAAACAAAAGCAATGCATAAGAATATATGTTAAAAATTAAAATAGAAAAAACAGACACTTTATTTTGATCACTCCAAAAAGAAATGCAGGCATATAATAAAGGGACGGAGAGAATATAATTTTGAGTGCAAAGCAAAGCTTTTTCTTTCTAAGAATTTATATGATTGAGGGTCATTTATATACATTATATTGTACTTCTAATGTTTCATGATTAATTTATAGAATAAGCTCAAGATAAGCACTTATCTAGGAATATATTAGAGGTGCACTTGTATAACTATTATTTTTTAAAACTTTATCAAAGGTGCTTTAGGAAAATGATTTTACTGGAATTGTCTAAATATTCCGTATTAATTTAAACAGATTGAGGGATTATTGTGGTCATTGGATGTTGTCATCTTCGACTTGTTTGACGGTGGTGTGGAAGTAGATTACAAGTTATGCCTTTAATTCGCAGTCTCCTATTTTAATTCAGAAACTTATGCTCCATATACGAGTAATTATTATTTGTATATGACCAAATTAGATGCTTTTGCACATTATTTATGTGACTCGTGTTGGGTATTAAATTATTTATTGCCTTTTCTTTATTTGTCCGAAAAAAAAGCAAAGGATCCCAATGGAGTTTTGTCTTTCGCTATTATTATATCCTAGAAAATGACACACTTTAAAAAAGAAATGTTGATATAAGATACTCGCTCCGTTTTTAAGTACTTGCTCCATTTTAATTTTTTGCACTATTTATTTGTCCTACTTTGACTAATGTTTGTGATTTATACATAAGAAAAAATATAGTCTCGCGGGTACTTGTTGGAATCATCTCAATGAATAGATTATTAATTTTCAATTGTTAGAATTTATACGTATTGATAATTAAAATTAGTGATTAAATATTAGCATCGACATACGTGTCCAAGAGAAATGAAGCAAGTATTTAAAAACGGAGGGAGTATGAATGAAATGGAAAATATGTGAACTAATAAGTTTGTAAGTATTTTTTTTTTTTGGTAATGTAATACGGTTAGCTATTTTATAAAATCTATAGTTCTCTGCTTGAACTTTTCATATAAGTTGTCACTTTATTACTCCCCTTAGTTTAATTATAGACAATTTAGTTGAATTAAATAAAGTAAAAGGTAAGTGGGGTAGTTGGAGTATTAAAAAATTGAAAAGGAAAGATAGTAAGGTTAATAATTTATTTAAAAGTAATGACTATGACAGGGAAATTACAATAAAATAAGTACCAATGGGTTTGGCCGGAGACCATGAGAGGAGAGAGATATAATATCTTACTATAGTTTTTTTTGCCAAAAAAAGGAAGTGTAACACTTATTAAAACATATACGTAGTGTATGTAAGACATTTAGGTGATCAGATACGTGTAAAGTAATTTGAAGTATTAGTATATGCACGTACTTTAATTATTCATGTAAATTTTGCTTAACCTTGGTCGTTGGCCCATTTTGGAAATTAAATTATTTAATGTTTTTTTTATTTGTTTGAAAATACAAAATAAGCAAAGGGTCCCAATGGAGTTTTGTCCTTTGCTATTATTCTACCCTAGGAAACGGCACACTTTAATTTAAAGAGGAAATATTGGCATAAAATGTCAGATTGCAGACATGTGATCAACGATCTTGTTATTAATATAAGGACAAAGAATAAATAACTAATAAATTTATGCTGTCAACTTTTATTTGTGCTTTTGTTTTCGTATAATATGTGTCTTGTCTATTAAAAAAATTTCTTTTAAACTCGATTTTTTTTCTTTTCATTTTCCTGTTTTCCGTCTTTCTTATATATTAGCCTACATTTAATTTTATTTTCAATATAAAATACCGGAATCTATAGTTTGCAAATTGGTAAAATGATAATTCGATCATAGTTATTAAGTTTGTTAGTGGTTTTTTTTTATTTTTTATTTATTTTTTATTTTTTTTGGTAATATATAAAATACGTTTAGCTACTCTTTAAAATCTATATTTTTCTAGATGAATTTTGCATATAAGTTGTCACTTTATTAATTCCATTAGTTTAATTATATAAATTTTGGGAACTTGTTGTACAATTTGTCTTCGAGTAATGCACTATATTGTTTATGATCGTATACTAGGACCATGCATGCATCGCTTTCCGTTGTAATAGGAATGAGTGGAGTATTTCCCATCAGTTTTCAAAATTGTTTCATACACTCTTCCTTTCCAATTCGAGTATTGAGTGAATGCATTAAGTGAGTTCATCCTTACACAGTACTTGACTCTAAAATCACTAGGCAATAGTTGGAAGAATAAGGGGAACATCACTCCTTCCTTCTTTCCTTCTAATCAAAGCATCAACAATAAGAAACTTTTTTCCTCACCAGGCGGCAAGAAGTTACTCATAAACAGCCATGAAGATAAAGCACAATGCAAGCTTCTCACCAAGATTTCATGTTTTCTTCTTCTTTTGTTTCAAACCCTTTCCCCTAATAAGTCTATCATAGGTTCTCCTTATCCTTATGTCTATATGCCATGTTTTATAAATGAGCATCTCTTTCTTACATTCGATCATGTGATTGGCAAAAAAAAATAAAAAATAAAAAAAAATTACCGAACTAAACACAAGGTACACCAATGATTTCAGGTACCTTTGCAACCCTGTCATTCCCTGTTAACCGTTCAATCACATTCCATTTCTTCATCAACCACTTTGAGCCTCGTCTAACGTTTGACCTTCATTTCTTCAACCCACATTCACTTAACCATGGGATTGGAAGATGTGTAATTGTATAACATTCAAAAAGCAAGTAAAAAAAAAAAAGGCAGCAAAGCAACAATAAAACAATGTCTAAAGGTAAGTGTTCCAATGTCTTTGATATGAACACGTCTCAAATTGCGTCTCTCATCGAGTGCTTGGTACCGTGTCTGAGAAACATGAATGCTAAGTGAGTGATGGACCGCATGATCTGAGATTGCCTACATTGATTCAAAAGAATAAAAAAAAAGATTCAAAACAAAAAAAATGTATGAAAAATAAAACTTGCAAAGTCTAATAAACAATTGCATATCTTGGGGGCTTCTCTCGGGTCTTGAGCCTTTTACCCCTTTCTTCCTTAAACCTTCAGCTTAACCACATTACAACCCTTGAAAGACCTCTTTGCGGTGTACACACACTTGTGCAAAGTTCGGTTAGAGCTACGTTCGGCCTGATTCCTAACGGATACGTAGGCAACCTCACATTGAGGTGCGGCCACATTCATATGCATGATCGAGTCGAAGAATATCCAATGCTTAATCCTATGACCCTACCCATTTAGAGCTAGACTTGAGGGCTTGAACCCACATCATTTAGCCTACCTAGCCTAAAGAGTCATCATCTTTGACTCTTCTCACATCTCTTTCCATCGCCATAACCCTTGCAGCCAGCCTTAGTATCACATTCACACACTTCACTCACACATCCATATTTGTATCATCTTTCCCTTAGGAACCCTTTTTCATGAAATCTTATTTCAACACTGTGCATGTTTCATCATCTTTCAAGACAACATTCATTAAAAGAAACATTGTATGCTTGCTTAGCTTCCTGACCTGAGCAATGTTTATTGTTTCACGGATCGCATAATGTGCTGAGAAACATTTATATATCAATGATTTTTAATCATATAAAGCATATCGTTCTTAGCTCCTTGACCTAAGCAACGTTCATTATGCAATAATCACTTCATCTGTATACGTGCTTAGCTTCCAGACTTAAGTGACGTTCAAGATCGTTTCTTTACACCATATATGATGCTTAGCTCCATGACCTAAGTTCATTCATCGTGTCACATGATGTAATTGTCCTTAGCCTCCTGGACTAAGGACATGCATCATGCATACATTACTTTCAAGAAAAGCAATT